CCAGTATAACCGCGTTTTGTTCTGCAATCATTGTTATGAAATGAAATGATGCTACCCTGTGTATATTCATAAGTTTTATAACTTATACTCTTGCCACAAACAAATGAAAAAAAAAATAATGAAGGCATAAATTCCTTCATTTTTTTGTTGCCCTTGAATTGAGTGCTTAATGGATTTACTTTTAAAAAAATCGGATTTTTTTAGGTAAAATATATTTTGTAAACAGCTGGTCACAAAAATAATGTCTTTTTCAATATTTTCTCTTTATACCTGTATACTATGCCAATTTATAACTAAAAAAAAAAAATCATTTCAGAGAGGATTTGCACGAAAAAAAAATAAATTTATACTTCTTTTGATAATTTTCTGAAATCAAAGTTCTTATCTTCACGAAATGGCAATTTATAGGGATTATTGTTCAATATTTTTGTATAAATGTATATGTACAAAGTCAAAGTGTGACGTCAAAATTAAAGCAGCAATGACAAATCATGAGTTGAAATTGAAATTTCAAACATAATACTTATGACAGTTATAGAAAAAATCAAATAGTTTTAGAGATTTATAGTGGAAATTCACATAATATTGTAAAATATATCAGTTCAAAATACTACCAAAAAAAAAAAAAAAAACGTGTCGGCCGGTCAGAAGCGTAACATTAAATGACCTTTGGAATCAAGGTAAATCTACATATTTGATACTTTTAAAAAGGTTAATACATGTAGTAAGATAATCAAGTGTTTTTTTGTTTTTTTTTGACATACAACAGAACAAATTATCTGAAAACTCATTTGGCTTCATTTACTCATATTTAGGCATGGATTATTAATGATCTAGCTTTCGATGTTAATAGGTGTTTTGCCGAGGTGAAAAAAACGCACAAAACTAAAAACTATAAACCATTTCGCATGTCTCGTGGTAGCGTGCTCGTCTCGGTTGCGGGAGGTCGTGGGTTCCATCCAGGGCCGACTCGAACCATAGACTTCACAATTGGTATTTGCTGCTTCTCTGCTAATCACACGGTATGCAGGAGTTAGAGTAAAGACTGATCGGCTCGGATTCAGAAGAATGTGTCTGTGTGCGTTCACTTGTCTTCCTTAGGGCTGTTACCTTGTGAACAGGTACGTTTAAAATTCAGCGTGTCGGTCAATTACAAAGCAGGATTCATATATATATATATATAAATATCTCGTTAACATGTTCTCGTCCTGATATGCAATATTATTTATCACTGGACGATAAATACAAATTCATTAGAATATGTGTCAATACAGCACCACACCCCACTTGCGATATTCAATTTCCATTCACTGGACCGCGAAATCTATTTGAAACCATTAATATGGTATATATCTGGTGAAGTTCGCATCATAATAAACATGTACGTGTATACTTAGTTTCAAGTTGATGTGACCATTGCTATATGATAAGCTACTTTGAAACAAAACTTTTACCTAGCTTTACCCAAAAATTTAACCTGCATTCGTGAAACCATAATTATTATAAAAAAAACTCACACCATTAAAAATCTGTACAAAGCATGGTTCATTTTCTTATAACATTCAAATGTCGTCCTGATATGCATACACTATTTGCCACCGGACGTTTAAACTTTAACCATTCATGAATTTCATACCAAAGAACCCTAATCGTCTTAACTAAAATAATTATAAAAAAATACTGGCGAACATGAGTCGAGAATTGTGCTGAATATCGCTACGAGTTAATATTAAACCTATCACTGGGTTGACTGTCATGGCTGTTTTGCTTCATTCGGCTTTCCTTTTCGTCCTCAAAATGAAACGTGTATGTGTCTATAGCCGTCCATATGTTTAACACCTTAGAACATTTGTTTGTACTTGATGAGGATCCCTTTTCTCTCTCTCTAAGTTGAAAATATATTACTGAATTCCATCCACCAGTGTCATCCACTCAGTATTCGGTACTTCGTTATTAACATAATTTGCATGATACTTTTACCGCAAATTCAGTTCTTGAATTGCTAAAATCAGGGGAAATACATGATTCATCTGAATTGTAAAATTGAGTGTAGATTTCTAGAATTATATGTTCTATATAGGCCTGTTTTGATATTCATGGTCCAAAATATTTGTGTAATTGTTCTTATCAGCTTGAAGCATCCACCATACTGTTGAAACACTTGTAGTGCGGATCAGGATAATTTAAAATCTACACAAGATTTATATTCATCACTGATTGGCAGCTTCTCGCTTTTCCGATATCAGCAGACTTAAGATACGGACAAGTTGGAATAAAGTTTATAAAAATTCAATAAAATTACGTGAAATAAAGATTAAAGTAGATGATAACCTAACTTTAATCCTGTGCTACATATTTGAAGAATTTTATCATGGACGAACAGACCATCTTCATCATTATCACATCATATGAAATTATATTATAAAAGTGCCAAAAGGCTTATAAAAGCGTGAATCGTTCACTGGCAAAACTTCAATAGAGCCAGGTGAGTTAAAAATAATTATCAAAATGCGCAAAGTAATTTGAAAGATACTACTTAAAGCACTAAATACTGGTGGGATGGCCATGGTACCTTAGTATATATCAGTCAAACTGCAGCGGTACCGACCCAAGAGAATCATATTAAACATGTAATACTGATTTAAATGTGCATAATGCATCTGTCTGAAATAACCTGCTTCAATAACGCTTCAGATCAATCGGATTTAGAAATTCAAATTTATTAAACATTTAAAGTATCAGAAAGACCTCAACGGAACAGTAAGAAATTGTGTAAAGTAAAAACTTTTTTGATAGAACTATCATAATCTTAAAAAAGTCGTCAAAAGGCACAACTTGAATCATACACGTATGGAACAGTGGGATGCATCCAGAGAGATGGTTAACTTGGGTACTGGCAGTCTACCAGCAACAGTGTGATAAAGATTTCATAAAAAAGTTTAGCTTAACATGAACATTGATAGATTGCTTAACGTCCAATGCCAAATTTATCATGCATATTCAGAAGAAGAACAAATTAACAATTAATAAAAGGGTATAGGTTCTGCAAGGAAGAGGTCAACCAAAATGAAGGGCGGGAAATTTGGACTGTCACTGGAAATTGATAGTATGTTTAATAGGGGCAGAAATTTTGTCTTCTCTCAGGACAAAATTACTGTCCCTATCCACCCAAGGACACCCAGAGAATTGTTGCAAGGGTTGCAAACGTAAAATGAGTGTGGCACTCTCCTTACACGGGACATCGGATGGAAATTCCCTATTCTATCCAGACGTAACTACGTATGTATGCATCCCGCAAAGCCAAACGGACGCTCCGCTTTAGCAAGGGGTTTACAGCAGGAGGAATCTAGGGATGATCATATTTCCATTATCCAGTTAACCCTTTTGGGTGTTTAACATGATCATGATAATTACCAACGTTGAAAAAACTAATAGCTTAATGGTTGATTTCTTAAAAAGTAAGATCCAGAAGACAATAACTGAATGAGACAAAAAACGAGATTAATCAAACGGAACGAGACGAGTGAATGGACAAATGAGAAAAAACACGACGGACAACAATATTTAGCAAATAAATGCAACGTGAAGTAAACGCACGATCATGTATTCCCAATTGATATTAACTCGAATAATTCAATCCCTCTCCGTGTCCGATGTTCTACCACGCGAGGCTAATGCAGCCATCGTAGATCAGCGGAATATAACGACAGAATTATTCGGGTTAAATTGATATCTACGGTATTTTTTAACAGATGGTGTAGTCAAATAAAACTATAGTCAACTTCAAACGTTATGAATATATGCAACGTTTTCATATTGTGTATTATTTGTGCTTACAATTTGGGATGTACTTAATGTGACATTATCTACGAAAATAGCGAAATTTTAAAATAATTTCCAAATCAGAAAAGAATCAAAATGACCCAACTTATAAATTGAAACAAAACTTAATCATTTTTAATATATATTGTTATACAGTTATGAACATTTATTGTCCTACATATTGTCGATTGAATGCATAATATTTTAGCATTGCACAAGGTTAATATGCTTATTATAAATTATGTAATTCATTGACCGCTCCCAACATGTGTAACTTCAAGGCATATTTTAGCGGCGATCGATGTCTTTCAAAATTTCTGCACTTTTCTTGTATCCCTGGTGCTTTCGACTGGAGAACCGTCATACACAAGCATCGCACAAGTTGGCACTCCGAGGCAGGTGGGGAGCAAGAAGGTGAACTATGGTTTATTTTTATCAATAGTACCGCTTGAGTCGACGCTAGGGGCCGTCTTGACCTTGTCGTAGGGTATGAATCATTATGGGTCGTTCATTGTTGAAGACCCTACATCAACTGTCAAGATGAAGAAAAGGAATAAAAGCCCTGTTTATTGATAATTTCTATGTATTGTTTGGGATTTTGTCCCATGTACATTTACTCCATATCATGTCATTATCTATATTCTCGGATTTATGAATTAATTCTTGCACTAAATCCGTTGCAAGTGTACTGGTTGATATTTTAGTGTGGGATAACAAGATTTATTCTTAAGTTGGCTTTAAAATAGCTTTAAAAAACCTGGTCTCTGGTGGAGATTTGTCTCGTTGAAAATGATACCACATCTTATTTTTGTAATTCTGTTTGACATTATTACCTAAGACCTGGATTTTAAAGATTACGTACCTCGTGTAGAGAGTGTCACACTCTGCACGTCGAGAACCCCTGAAACAAAAGTTTGAGGCGTCCGTAGGTGGCCTGTTGCAAGACTAAACTTCTGTCCCTATCCAATAATCGCTCATTTTACAGTGGCATTCCGAATTTTCGTCAATCATGCCGGTCGATCTTCTTTTAGGATCTGCATATTGTTAGTTTGTTCTCGTACTGATCATGCATGAAATATTTGCCACTGGATGGTATTGAATACTGAAAATATTCGACGTTTTGCATGAAAGCTATGATAATCATAACAATAAACACGTTACGAAAACAAACAAATAGAAAATCTAAACTATTTATTTTGTTAAAATTCACTATTACACAAAGCAGTTCTATAATATATAGTTAGCATAATAATACTAATTGCATATATTTGGTCAAAGATTTAAAATCTTTTCAAAATTGCACTGGTCATAAAGCGTTAATATAAAAATAATTTCAAACAAAGTTAATAATAACGTGTAGTGAGGTATAATATGGATGGATAGTATGCAGTCGAAAAACTTTTGCAAGATAGGCACATTAATTTATCTATAAAAACTTGAGCATCCAAAAAATCTGTAATTCAAAAACGTAATAATATTTAAAGAGTAATGATTCTAAAGTAATTTCAAAATGTTTTTCTAAAAAAATATAATACTCGCTGTCTGACCAATGATCTTTGACTTATGAGTCAACCTTGGCCAGTTCAAAATCTTAAATATTACCTAGGAAAGTTGAGTCGATCATACATGTAAATTCTGTAAATGCTGCCAATAAGCATATGAGTATTATAATATTGCCCATTTTTTCATAACTAGCAGTGTGTGGGACTAGTTGTATTATTTTCAGTATCAGTATAAACTGGATCATGATTTTCTAACCTTTGATATTTTATATGTTGACCTAAATCCTTATACCATTGCTTTTGGTTTTGTTTTTGTCTAAAATAAAGGTCCGATATATAAAAATTACCTTCTTTTGGCCTTCTTTAATTGTAAATAAAATATTGTTTTCTCCTTATATATCTTTAAATTGTTTTACTTAAACCAATCTTTCCTTTCTTTGTATTTCATATCCTCCGGGTTTTTTTTTACTAAGATGTCTAAATGATTTATATACATACAATAAATGACAAAAAACCACAACAGGAAAATTGATTTAATCAACTTTCAACTGAAAATGGGAAAAAAGTTCACCGCACAGTTTTATTTTCTGTGTTCACAATGTTCAAGTGAAGTGGCGATACCCACCCAATACCAATTCAAATACGAGCTGATGTTAACACCTGAGGAAGTGAGATTAACTATTATAACCATAAGCTTAGGAAAGCCTCGCATAAATGCAAAAAAAACCCCAAAAAAACCCAATTTTTAATCAGGAATAAATCCAATATATTTTTTATTAGTAACGATGAAAAAGTATAACTAGTATATTGCATCTCTTTTTCAAAACAGCGTCTGGTAATGATGGAAATTTACCTATATAATATTTGTCTATTGTATAAAATGATAAAATCTTATTTTTATACAGTATTCAGAAATCGATGTCTATATGCTATAACAACACCAGTTGTTGCCAAGGTTATCGCATTCCACATATTTACTGAAACATGTCTTTATGAATCAATACCTGAGGCACGATACAGGATTAAGATTTTCCTATCAACACTCATTATTCATAGTAATGTCAGATGAATACGAAAACGTAATTTGCATTTTCATTTTTTTTTAAAACCTGATTCATTCCTAGCAAAATATAAATTCAGTCATAACAATTATCAGGTAAACGATTTTTTATATAATGAATAATAAACCTTGTAGGCGGAAAAGCTTTCACATTATTTTAGTTAAAAATAGAAAGTATTATCTCAGATTTGTATCAAAAGATATTGTGGTACATAGGGTGGGTCAAATATATCTTATTCACGTATGAAACGTCCTTGTAAATATTGCAAAATAATTTATGAGTTTGACTGAAAATTCATACATCATCCAGAAGAATTATACACTAAAAATGTTTTCAATTCACTATTAAAATTTTGCAGCTTATCTAACGGTGACAGTTCTTGTTGTTGTTACTGTTCGGACGGTGCTGGAACCACCAGTAGTTGTTCGACCAATCACTATAATCCTCCGTTCAGGGATAAGGAGTATGCCTGCGATTACCGCCAATATCCCAGCAATGACACAAAGATAGAAGGCCCAGCTAAGACTACTATCACTTTTAGACGCCCAACAAATCACTCCTATAAACGCACAGGCAGCTGTAAAAAAATCAATAAAAATTAGAAAATGAAAGCAGGTTATTAATTAAGAGAAAATAAATCGAATAGTCTTCTATATAATTATAAATTCTGTCGAAAATCCTCTTTGTCATTCGTGGCCTCCCCTCGAACATTGGAGGTATATACTACAAAACAATTTTAAAGTGTTTGGTCATTTAGACCATGATGTTGTTAAATGAAATTGGATACCCTGCATTTATTTTGCTTTTCAATAACATATGGTCAAATCGATGAAGGACCCCCTCCTAAATTATTGAAAACTATCATTCTGCATTGACAATAATATCTTGGTATAAATTAGATACATCTCATCGGGCTGATGCTCTCATATGTGTATATAATGCAATCATGATTGATAGTTTTAGATTAAATCACTGTTCTACTTAAATTTATTCTAATTACTAGAATAATTTTATGTAAACTGCTTCCATTATATGTGGTATTATCCTTAATATGGAGGGATAGATATACAGACGTTCAGTATTCCAGAAGGATTTGTGTGGTCACTTTGAAAAAAATTATATATTTTGACCCCCCCCCTCCCCCTTTCCCCAATTAACTTCTATACTATCAGACTAAAGATAAGGTTTTTCTCTCCATTTTTTTTTTTGGCTTGTCACCTCCACTTTTCATTCTACACCTACGTCAATGCACTATTGAAACGCATCAGCTGTTACTGAATCTGAGAACAACAATGTCATTTAGTAATGAAGTTATAACGATCTTACTAAATTGCAAAGTTTCACGATAATAAACCAAAAGGATTCTGCAATAGGACATAAATGGAAGTATTTAATGCATTGGTCCTGAAATCTATCTCATCAGTTGCCATCAGTCAGAATTATATAAATTGGTACGATTTCTAACGATGTTCCTCCGCTAATTACGGGAATGTTACACATCAGCTGTTACTAAATCTGATGATATAGTTATTCAACATTGTGTGTTTGTTATAACCGTTACCATGGGAACACAGGGTTTATTAAAGTATTTTTTAAGTGGATACACAGCTGCTCTCCTGATAGCTTTTGCTAATACATTGATGTTAGTATTCACGGGTTGTACCGTGCGTACAAGTTATTAGGTCCTTGGGAAAATGATACTAATAGTTCGAAAATGAAATTACCATAAAGTTTGATTTGATTTGTTATTTTTTTGAGTGGTTTATTCAGGATGAAAGTGTTGGATAGGAGGTTAACATACCCTTTCGAACCCCTAAAAAGTTGTGGCAACGGTTCTTTAACGCGCGCCGACTTTTCAGTCACAAATATTTAGTCATTGAAAAATATGTAAGTACCAAATACTGACTTGTAAAATAAAGCTGCAATGATGGAAGAAGCCCTATTTTCCTAACACTTATCAATAACTGTACACAGTTGTAAAAAGAGCATTGGTATTAAATGATAAAATAAGACAAATAATAAATAGCAACTTGTGGTAAGTCAACTTGTCTTGAATGTCTGGAGGATACCGTTTTTATTCAAAATCATATGCTTTCATTTCCCAAAGAACGTGACTTTGTTTCTTTCTTAGCCCTCCGTTGCTTATGGTGCTAAAATGGAACCAAACTGTGGACACTGATACAATATATGTAATTGTAATGTGACAACATTGAAAGTCAAACAAGAAAGAGTCAGATTTAATATGTATACGTAAAAAAAAATAATGATGATCGGACCGTGAACATTGACACAAGTGTATAGTATACCCTGGGACATAATATAATAATCCAAGATGTATACCACACTATTAACTTATTGGTGATAAAACTGAAGATGATAGATGTTTGAATGAGTCAGAACGTGAACACTGACATCAAACAATGTACCCGTACTAAAACTGATGATGACACATGTTAGAATAATATCAGACCGTGGACATTGACACCTACATATCAACCACAGTATTATCTAACGTGATAAAACTCGCGATGATGCATGCTGACACCACTATATATATTTAACCACAGTATAAACTTACCCGTGATAAAACTGATTATGACACATGCTAGAGCAGATATTGACACCAGAATATCAACAACCAAACTATTTACTTATCTGTGATAAAATCTGATTATGAGACATGCTAGAATGATATCTGACTGCGGATATTGACACCCGTATATCAATAAAAGTATTATCGTGTCCTTTATTAAAAATGATAACAGACTAGACATATGGTATAATGATATAAGACCGAGAATATTGACACCAGCATATCAAACATTAGTTTAAACTTACCTGTGATAAAAATCGTGATGCTTGAATGATAAAAGACCGTGCATATTGACACCAGTAAATTGACGGTGTAACAACCACAGTTTAAACCATTGTGGTGACGTCAGCCTATTCATTTACCGTGGATTCTTTTTCTAGAATCAACGCTTCCTAAATCTGCCGCTGAAATGGACTCACTAAATTATATTCAATTGTTTCCTTTGTGTGTCTAATTTCATTAAGTTTGAATTGGCTAATTTACTGATTTCTGTTCACTAATGGAATTAATTTAAAAACTTACCTTTTATTTTTGTAATTTGTATATGCCTTCACTGGGAATCGAACCCTTCCTTGAAAATTGTTGTGAATGACTAACATCAACACATCGACGAAACCTCTTCGCTACCAATGGATTACAACTTCGATGTCTATTTTATATAAATAAATGAACATCGGACACACAGGGGTTGTACCTTTATATATACACAATGGGCAGTCGTATAGTATAAGTTGGTAGCCGCGAGGTTAGCATGCTTAAAATCAACGAGTTAAAAGATAGGGATTTGTCGGTTTAGGTTCTTATCCCTGTATTATCTCTGTTGTCCCAATTCTGTTTTTTTTTCTAATTTTGCATGTTATTGATGATATTTTTGTAATAATAGCGAGTTTTACCGTTTATTTTTTGGATTATTATTGGCTATTTCACATGTTTGAAACAAAAATGATTACATTATATTTGTCAAATTTTGTTGTATAAATATAGTATGATTTCATCTGTTCTACTACATAATTTTACAAATGTTTGTTCGCAAATTCCTATGCGAGAAAATCGTGATGTGCCTAGAGTGCTAGAAATTTCGCTAACATACTTATTATATATACTTTATATATGCTCTTTGGTCGGGTTGTTGTCTCTTTGACACATTCCCCATTTCCATTCTCAATTTCATTAGAAATAAGTTCGAATATGTCTTATTTTGTAAAAACAGATAATATTCAGATGCCTGATAATATAAAGATCTTTAAAAGTAGAAGTGCTATATTTGTATTTTGTTAACCAATTAATTGTGATCTGAGATTTATTAATGCATCGTTGGACACGATAACATGGTTATTTAAACTCACTTACAATACCTTCTAATTAAGAAAAGGCTTTAATTTTGAAAAGTAATTAACACAATAGTTTAAGTTATGTCTAGGTTAGTCTATGGAAAGGTATATACTATGAAATTTAGAGCGAGGGGCTTGCAATTTGATCATTCGTAATTTGATTGGACGAGAAGTTGTAAGTATGTGCTAAAGATACAATGGATAAGCGTAGATTCATGAAAAACAAACCATTCGCCCTCCGGGCTCATGGTTTTTTTTTCAAGAATCCACGCTTATCCATTGTATCTATATAACATAAACTTACCTGTGATAAAACTGATTATGACACATGCTAGAATGATATCAGACCGCGGACAATGAACCAGTATATCAACCAAAGTATTATTTTGTCCGTGATGAAAACTGATTATGACATATGCTAGAATGATATCTGACTGTGGACATTGACACCGATATATCAACCAAAGTATTAACTGGTTCATGATAAAAATTAACGGATGATGACACATGAAAGAATGATATCGAACCCTGGACATTGACACCAGTATATCAACCAAATTATTAACATAAGCTGATGTTTTCTAGAATGATACCTGACCGTGAACATTGACACCAATATATAACCAACCAGAATTATTTACCCGTGATAAAACTGATGATGATACATGCTAGAATGATATATCACCAACCACAGTATCAAGTATTACTTACCCGTGATAAAACTGATGATGATACATGCTAGAATGAGATGAGGCCGTGGACATTGACACCAGTATATCACCAACCACAGTATCAAGTATTACTTACCCGTGATAAAACTGATGATGATACATGCTAGAATGAGATCAGGCCGTGGACATTGACACCAGTATATCACCAACCACATTATTAAGTACTATTTACCTGTGATAAAACTATTGATGATACATGTTATAATGATATCTGATCGTGGACATTGAATCTGACACCAGTATATCACCAACCACATTATTAAGTATTACTTACCCGTGATAAAACTGATGATGATACATGCTAGAATAATATCTGACCGTAGACATTGACACCAGTATATCACCAACCACATTATAAGTATTACTTACCCGTGATAAAACTGATGATGATATATACTAGAATGAGATCAGACCGTCACATGCAGTATTAAGTATTGCCACGGTAGGTATAGTGTCCGGCTAGGATCGTGGTTTTTCGAGTGAATCTGCCCATTTTTTCGAGTGTAGATCGGGCTTTTTCGAGTGATAAAACATGCGATCAGGTCAATTAACTGCTAATTCGTAATTATAATAGTTTTTTACTTGACTACCCATCTTAATCTGAATACTATACATGTTTTGAGTAACAAAGAAGCACAATTTCCTTGTATTTAACCATTAAATTCAGTGTTTGTTATTGTCCAGGCTTTTTCGAGAGGAACTGTGAAACCGTCTGGGTTTTTAAACAAATGGTCCGGGTTTTTGAACAAAAATTTTAATAAGAAAAAAGGTATTCTTGACTGTAAAAAATGACTTTTCTAGTTTATAAATGTAATTTAATGAATGAAAATATCATATATTCTCAATAAATCACCAAAACATATTACGACTTTGATCAACATTAACCTTTTTCAATTTAGTGCAAATTTTCTGTTCGGAAAACGTTCTCCCACAACATTCCAGTATTAAATTAGAAATTATTGGATCCTTTATAAAAAGGTCTTTAGAACATAGTGCAGGTGACTCATAATCTTTAATTTCAACTTCAATTTATGATATTTTTGTTGTCACAGTTAATAATATTTTTCGTGGTGAACCTCGGAGTTTTTATACGGTACGTATTATGGTATACCGTTGTCCGTCCGTCGTCAGCATGTCGGACAATAACTCAAAAACGCTGTAACCAATTTACATGAAACTTCGGTGAATTGTTTATATCTATTAATTTGAGGTATCCTCCCTTTCGAATTTTATAAATTTTAGATTTTACGTTTCAGAGTTATGGGATTTTATTAAACAAACTAGAGGGCTCAGGCTCTAAAGAGGCTGTGTCGCTCACTTTGGTCTATGTGCTGCAGTGCATATTAAACAAAGGACACTCTTCTACATTAAAAACAAGAATAGAATTCATGACAAAATTCTCTGTGTTGGTGATGGTGACTTGTTTGTAGATCTTGCTTTACTGAACATTCTTGCGGTTTACAGTTATCTCTATCTATAATGAACTTGGTCCATAAGTTTCAGAGGAAAAGATTTTTGTAAAAAAATGTTTGCGTTGCACATGATCCGCTATCCTTAACATTAAAATACAATTATTAAGCTGCTCAGATTGTGATCTGTTCAACAGCAATTAAAACTCTAGACGTATATATCCGAGCATCACGGGATGACACAATGTAAAAGTTAACGGACAACGACGGACGCCAAGTGACGAGAAAAGCTCACTTGACCCTTTGGATCCAGGTGAGCCAAAAAGGGGTGAATTTACAGTTTTCGGACTATATTTTTAAAGTGCTTTGAGGAGTTTTCATGAAACTTTGGTGACTGCTTTATATAGATTAGGGTTACCTCCCTTTAAGTTTTTGACATTGAGAAATTATTTATAGGTTTCATAACGAGTGAGAATGGATATCGCTTGATATCATCTTGAGTTATTTAATTTCAATATAATAATAAACGATACTCCGGCGAGTTTAAAATTATTATTACTATTCGAATTAAATAACGAGAGGAAATTACTTACTTACTTACTTGAATTAAATAACGAAAGTTGATATCAAGCGATACCCCATTCTCACAAGTTGTTAACCGTATTTGTCTTATGGTCAACACTCTCATTGTGTCAAACTAAAAATTCCGCGAATCGTTGATCTAGTATTTTGCACATGAAATGTACATCTTCGTAACCTTTGATGTTCATCAATGATCTAACGAATAACCAATGGAAATGCCGTAATATCGTCTTATCATGCTGGATGAGCAAATCAAATTAACGCAGATTTTCGTATCACTTTTTCGTATCACATTCCGTACAGTGTGATATGAGAAATGTTTATTCGTGAAAGAAATATATAATAAGCCACAACCATAAGAGAATGAACTTTATTCTTTGAAAACGCGACGGGAGTATCATGCGCCCATGGCGCAGCTGTTGATTAAAAAACGGAGTAAGAAACCTTCTGGACAGCAGAGAAGAATCAGAAAAATGCATTGTTTTTGTTAGACGTATTTCTATTTGTATCAATCTGATGAGTTAAGCCTTTTTCAACTGATTTTTATAGTTCGTACTTATGTTGTACTGTTACACCACTGTCCCAGGTTAAGGGGAGGGTTGGGATCCCGCTAACATGTTTAACCCCGTCACATTCTGTATGCATGTGTCTGTCCCAAGTCAGGAGCCTGTAATTCAGTGGTTGTCGTTTGTTGATGTGTTACACATTCATTTTTTCGTTTATTTTTTGTACATAAATTAGGCCGTTAGTTTCTCGTTTGAATTGTTTTACATTTGTCATTTCGGGGCCTTTTATAGCTGACTATGCGGTTTGGGCTTTGCTCATTTTTGAAGGCCGTACGGGGACCTATAGTTGTTAATTTTTGTGTCATTTGGTCTTTTGTGGAGAGTTGTCTCATTGGCAATCATACCACATCTTCGTTTAGATATGTAATAAAAAATATTCTACTTCAAGAGGTCTGCCCCCACACAAAAACTTCATTAATAACATCAACGAAAAACATTTACACACTTAATCCGACCAGTTTTTATTCCCATTGACAATAAAATCTGAATTAAATTTCATATATAGTTAACAATGAAATGAATAATTCATCAGCTTAATTCACTATTTGTACGTACGTCTCAATCCAAATTGTCTATGCTTACATTATATTGTTGACATCATAAATATATACTGTACATGTAATTTATAAGATGTGACAAACAACAATATATACAAATGACTGATAATTTTTTATAAAGTGTAAGTGTTAGTACACCTTTATCAAACTGATGAATGCATTGATTTCGTGTCTTAAAAAGTACATAATTTGAACCCTTTTTTATTGTTTTTAAACGTAAACACACTGACATATAACATTCTAAGCTATAGGAAATTTGTTTAATCACTCGATAAAACACGGACGCACTCGAAAAAGCCCGGACTGCTCTCGAAAAAAACCCGAACACATAGAAATGAATTTAGTCTCAAAATGTCGTTTTCAATGTAACAACAAGAATTTTTGTAAAGTGTCTGTATATCTGAGGATATAAGGATTCCATGTATGCATTTCCATCGACATTTGCATTGGTATGTGTATAAAAATGGCTTTATTCTGTTTTTTGGAATAAAAGCACTGTAAGGCTGAATTCAACTGTTTTGACGAAAAATAATGTCGGATTGATAATATCTTTTTATCTCAAATACTAACACACCTTGTGTATACTTATATATCAAATTCAAGCTTCTATATCACGTCTTGTCAGAAAGGAAGTCTGTTTGTTTACATTTTTGATCATATTCACTCGAAAAAAAGTGGTCACACTCGAAAAAGCCCGATCAAATCACTCGAAAAATCACGATCCTAGCCGGACACTATACCTACCGTGATTAGTTACCCGTAATAAAAATGATGACGATACATGCTAGAATGAGATCAGACCGTCACAGTATCAAGTATTACTTACCCGTGATAAAACTGATGATGATACATGCTAGAATGAGATCAGACCGTGGACATTGACACCAGTATATCAACAACAGAATCAGCAGGACAACAAACAGAATCACTGCTATGGCAGAAAATGCTCTTGCAGCCCCAACTGCTGTACCTGTGAAAAACAAAATTGTTCGTAAAAAAATCAAGATTTCAGATTAATTCTACAGTATGATTTTTTTCCACTTGAATTAGGACTTAGATTTGAATAATGAGAAGATAGGTCACTTTTTTCAATGCTTTCTTTTATGAATAGCATGAGCAGCTGCCGGATACCTGTGTATATGATGTTGATGTTTGTATAGCCTGTTTTGTAGGATTGTAATCAGTCATGCATACGCAAATTTACAATAAAACTGCGAAAGAACCAACTTTGTGAAAGTTACTGGGGATTATTCTTTCAAAATCAATTTCAAACCTGTGAATAAACAGCTGCGCTAAGAGCGCATGATACGCCCTTATTGTGCATATAGAAATTGTTGCAAGAATAAAATGGGAAATTTCGAATGCATTTAATCAAAAGCAAATAAAATGGCTCTGTAGGAAAACATGCCTCATCAGTGACACCAATTATGTAAAGTTTCCACTATATCAATCATAGCAAACTCAAGTTATGGTACAATATGTGAAAAATTAACTAAAAATCTGACAAATAACGAACCCTAACTCTGGAGCAAAAAGTCTAAAGCTAAAGGGAGCTTCCTTTCATCAATCCTCACAATAATGGAGGAAATCAATCAAGGAATGCTTGAGTTAGTGCGCGATTTTTGAAAAAATGCCTTTAATCTAAAGGTCAAAGTTCCGTCACTCTGGAATGACAGAGTCAAAAATAAAAAAAGAATAAAAGAAAGGAAGCTTTCTTCCGTCTATTCTAATGTTGTGTTAAAATTATATGACAATTGGTTAAAGCGAATTTGAGTTATCGTTCGAAGTGTTGACGGACGGACGGACATTGTTATGCCATAATACGCCACGTCTTCAACGGCCGTATAAAAATTAATTTGAAAAAGAACAATCTAAACTATCTTTTCCAAACTTCTCAAAATTAAATAGGGTAAACAGTACCAAAATAAAGGTAAATAAATAGTGTCGACACTGTTGTACAGACGGCATTTTTCATAATGAATTTTCAAAATTGTTGCATTCATCTGCACCTTACGAAAAATGTTGCCTCATGTTTGTTCAATGAACATGAGAATTGAATTCCAAGGGTTTCTTATCAAACTTAATATTATTCGTCGGTTGTTTTCTTTTTCTTTCGAGGGAGGGGTGTGTGAGGGGTGTGTACACAGGTCACATAGTAAAGCATAAGGTAACATAAGGATGCAAACTAAATAACAGTAGTCTGTTTTAGATGTTAAATTACAATATAAATGCAAATCTTACTTATATTTCTGTATTTATAGCATCGATCACCACTGCTTCTTTTAAAATGGTCACTGCAATGCTGCCACAAACCAGTATTTGCATCTCCATAACTTGATTCCCACGATGCCCAGTATGGAGAGGCAAATCCAATAACTTCGAATACTAATCCAACACAAATAAGTGCAAAAGCAACTTTAAAATACACTGAAACAATAAACATTTTGTTTTCAAATTAACATCGAAGGCTTATTGCACACAACACAAATGCTTCACGAAAGATGAATAAATTATGCAGCTTCTGTGGTACGCTGAGCGAGATGCTGTTGAGGCACCACACAGGAAACACTTTGTCTAAAATGTTTGTTTGAACCGTAAGTGTCGTCTGCTAGTAAATTGATTAATGTAAAACCTATGTTGTCAGGAAAGAAAAATGTCGCTATATTTGAAAATAATATTTCATGGATGTATGAATATGTGTATGTCATACCATGGATAGATTGAAAATAAAATGCAGCTTTGTAGCATTATTTGAATATTGAGGCACCTTAAGGGTCAATCTATCAACAAACGCCCTTAAATGTTTGATGTATGACTAACAAAAATAGTTCATTCACACAGAAAATAAAGTGTAGTTGTTGATATTTTCTGACGCCCATGTCATACATTTATTATCATGTAATGTTAACAAATAGCCGTGTTGGATTATGTTATTTATTTGCAATTTCTAGTTACTCCAGTTATAGTTTAGCAATTATTGACACTTTATTTTTTTTTATTTTAATTTTACTTTCTTTTCTCAAAATTTTCTGTTTTATTATACTGAAAAATATTAAGCTGCATGGAAAACAAGTACTTGAATTTAAATCAAAACTTGTACTTCATGACCAATTCATACTTTTAACAATAATACATAGAACTGTCTATAGTGGTATTTAATCATTATCAATATTTTCAAATTAAAATTATGTTCTCTATCCTTTATTACAATTAGATAATTTCAATATGAGAGTAAAGTTCCTATAATTATTGAAGAAATAATTTGATAAAATCTAAATATGTTTAAACGTTTTATGGCCAACTCAATACATATCGGTCTAAATCATGTTTAATTGAAAATAGAGCACTTACATTACCCTAGCTTATAGTAACCTTGCAATATTATCTGATTTTACTGCAGACATTTAACTCGAAATGGACTTGAAATACAATATTTGTCCTTTTCTATTTTCATACGGCCGTCGAAGACATTGGTAAACCAATGTCCGTCCGTCCGCCAACACTTCGTACGATAACTCAAATTCGCTTTAACCAATTGTCATATAACTTTAAAAACAACTTTAGAATTGATGGAAAAAGCTCCCTCTCCATTTTTTTTAATTCTTTGACTTGTCATTCCAGAGTTGCGGAACTTTAACCCTTAGATTTAAGCACAAATCGTGCACTTACTCCCAGTATTTCTCAATTGACTTCCTCCAAACTTTACATTCTTCTGGCGATTAATGAAAGAAAGGCTCCATATTGATCTTTTTTTCATTTTTCGGTTTGTTGTTCCATTGTTACGGAAATTTAACTGTTACATTTAAGGCAATTTTTCACAAATCGCGCATTCACTCCAGTATTCCTGTGTTGATTTCCTCCAAACTTTCCTTTATTATGGGGATTGATTGAAAGAAGATTCCTTTCGATTTAAAAATTTTTCCTGTTTGTCGCTGCAGAGTTATTGGACTTGAATTAAATGTCAGATTTCAGTATTTTTTTTTCACATTTTGAACCATAACCTGAGTTTGCTTTGCTTGATTTAGTGGAAACTTTACGTAATTGTTGGAATTTGTGAAGATATAATTAAATGCCTTCAAAATATCCAATTCTATTCTTGCAACAATTTCAATATGCACAATAAAGGCGTATCATGCTATCTTGGCGCAGCTGTTTTTTGTGATTTTGATTTTTCCTTTTTACATGGACAATTCTATTAAGCCTGAAAAATAACTTTGGCCAAGATAGGGTGAAATTGAATATTCTGCATTACAAAATGCAGGAAATAATTATGTACACAAGTGAAATAAATGTTCGCGTGGGGAACTTGCCGCAGGAAAAAATAAGCATGCGTAGCAATATATTAAAACGTATTGGTCCTTAAAAATTTGAATATTTGTTTGAATAGTTCGACATTTTGTCATGCCTTTTATACCGTGCTATACCGTCAGGGTAGTACTCATTTGTGAATGCCTTGTAGTGACATATACTGGAAAGTTGTCTCATTGGCATTCATACCACATATTCTTATTTTTCAATATTATTAAGCCATATCAAATCAAAATATTATTTTCTGAAGTACGAGTGAAAATTAGCCTATTGGGAAATACAGTTGATCTACTTTGCACACATCTGAATTAAATATATTGCTATGAGAATTTTTGTTACTAATAGAAATGAAAAGGGTAACTCTTTTGTATAAAAAATAATCGTATTAATATTGCAGAAGGAATTATCCGCTATTGCTCTAAATTGGCTATCAGGCATTTCTTTTTTGAATGGCCATTTTATGATGTTCATATTTAAGTTGCAAGTGATATTTTACAATACCTTTTGATATATTTTACTTACCGGTACTCTTAATGTTATATATTGTAGCTTAGATTATTTTCCACAAGTTTTACTGATGACTTTAAGTTAATTTAAATTAATTTCTCAAATATATAACCAGGAAGATTTGGACAAATGTGAAATAGAAATAAAGCTAATTCCGACAATATATCTTAAGTGCTATAGTGACAATTTATTAATCCGTTCATCAAACCTTTTACATTTCTTTGTGTTTAATTAATTCTATTGTTAAATATATGTTTGTCGTAATGGAAATTACTCTGACGATGACAAGTTAATCCTTTGGACACTAATCCTTTGCTATAGTAACTGTTTTCTATATATGCTTTTGTATGTTATTTTGTAGTCAGTTTAGGTCTTAGGTCTGGTACTGTCCGGACCTTGCTAATAAAGTTTAAAGTATTGGTATTCCGTCTTTGAATTACTATAACACGGAAAACGCCCGGTTATATATTGGTTGAGGTACCCGCGGCACGATCTTGAGCTAGTTCCCCCAAACTAGTAATGAATACCTCTAGAAGCAACTATATGGAAGGAATCTGGAATTACCAGCCTTGCAGAAATGGACATCCGTTTCCGATGAGAAAAGCAGATACCTATTTGGACTTTCTGTGCAAATATTGTGGTAAGACATTGAACGTTTTCACCTACCATCGGTGTTATGCAGCTAACGCTTATTGTTACAAGTGCAGACATCATGGACATTTTGCCCGTATGTGTTGTTTTCACGTTAAGTCGTGTGAAAACCCAAAACCGAAGAAGAAATCAAAGTCAAAAATTCAAAGAGACAGCGACCGAATGAGAACGTTTATTGAGAAGAAACAAATGTCTCAATTTCCGTTTCAAGAACTCGAGGACAAGGAACTCTCCGCTTTTACGTGCTCCATACAGGACGAATACGCGAAACTACACATTAACCAGTTGAAAGTGTCTAACCGAAACTTCATCAAAGAAATCCTGTGCTGAAGTGTGAAAATTCTAAATTGGATACTGTAGTGAAAGATAATGTAATGTTGAGTGACAGTTTGGACAAATTAAATTTGGAACGTTTAGAACATGGCCGGATAATTCAAAAGATCGAACATGAATTAGCCGAACATACAAGTCGAACTAAAAAGTTTGAAAAAGAAATAAGTGGTTATACAGATAGAAATGAACATTTGGAAAGAGTAATAGTTCAACTGAAAGAGGAAAACCAAAATTTAACGAACACCAGACAACGCTTAACAATGGAGTTCAAAAATTCTGACATGCAGTACAATCGCATCTTAAATGATATGGAAGACGAAATTCAGAGACTTAAGGAAGATAACGTAAACAGTAGACACGAGATTCAACATCTAGATATAAAACATTCAAACCGAGATGTGCGTTCGACCCTTGCAATTTGCTCGCGTGGCAATTCGCAGCAACGTCATCGGCGAGGAGGAGGAGAAGGATACCCACGACGATAACAAAATTCATTCGGCAAACTCGGAGACCGAGTTTAGGTGGAGTAGTGGCGAATATAACCAGGAAGATTTGGACAAATGTGAAATAGAAATAAAGCTAATTCCGACAATATATCTTAAGTGCTATAGTGACAATTTATTAATCCGTTCATCAAACCTTTTACATTTCTTTGTGTTTAATTAATTCTATTGTTAAATATATGTTTGTCGTAATGGAAATTACTCTGACGATGACAAGTTAATCCTTTGGACACTAATCCTTTGCTATAGTAACTGTTTTCTATATATGCTTTTGTATGTTATTTTGTAGTCAGTTTAGGTCTTAGGTCTGGTACTGTCCGGACCTTGCTAATAAAGTTTAAAGTATTGGTATTCCGTCTTTGAATTACTATAACACGGAAAACGCCCGGTTATAAATACACTACACACTGTATATATAGCCATAAAGGGAAGGAATATTTTCGGTTTTGAACAATTTTCAATGCTCATCGGTCGGGTCCGTTTTTTTTTTTGCGAATAAAACTTATATTATTTATTTAAATCTGTATATTTGATTGATGCTTTTTGATACGAAATTTCCCCTTTTTTAATTGACATTAACGCTTTAATTTTTTGGACAGCTGCGCCTTTTCAATATGACATTTGCGCTTTAGAAACATAACATGTGTTATGGTTTAAAGCTTAAATATCATTTAATATCCAAAGCATGATAGCACATTCATATATGTATTTACAGCTAACATCAGTAAGATCTTTTATTAAAAAAAAAATACAGTAACCTTAATAAGTGTATTTTTTTTAAATGAAAAGAATCTTAAAGCCAGGAACTAAAGTCTGATATAAAAAACCGCTGTACTTTTAAAATCCATGATACTTACTGCTTGTCAAATAAAACGTATGATGATTCACAAAGACATATAATTGCTTCTTTTCAATAGAGTAAGGATAATGAAATTTTACATCTGACACACAGAATGTCCAAATGACTGAATTATTTACAATCATGATTGTGTCAGATGAAAAACGACAAAACTTTAAGAAGGAGGATGGAAGTAATTCCTATAACAATTTCTTCATAGTCAACATGAACAGCAGGTGTTTAAAAATGACTTCCCAGGCAAAAAAAAAAAACAACAACAACAACAACAACAACAACAACAACAACAAATACTTTATTAGAGTCTCACACCTCTCTAAAACATTTGATATAAAGCACAATATAATGATAACAGATGAATTAAAAAAAAAATAGCCACTCTAAAGAGAGTTATGAGAGACTGTTAAACACACATTAAAAATACATTTATATTACATATGTAACATATATCAAGCAATAGAATAAAAACAAGAGGAATATATATTTTCCACTTTTGTGAATTTTCGAATGATATTATTGAAGCTACCTGAAGAATTAAGAGCAATATTTGAATGTT